TGCATTTTTAACGCATATTTTGTAATTGTTGCCAGAGCCCGTTGTCTGGGGGTAGCGTTGACCTTTTTTGCGGATCCATTTGCATACGCACACTCTTTAGACGAGGAGCCGCAGCCCGGAACCCGTAGACCAAATCAAGTTCGTTGGACAGACCAGTTCATTGGCCCGTCCTAAGGATTGCCGCTGGCTGGCTGTCTAATTACAAGCTGAGCTTTTTGTACGCTTCTACGTCTTCGTCGGCTTCATTCAGTGCTCGGTCATAATTACCGGCAAATGAATGTTATAGCCATAAAAATTAACTTTGCCCCGCCGCTTGCTCAAAGTTATGCTTCAGTTAAATTCCTTTTTGTATCTAAAGAATAGAGAAGCTTAGAGGGCTGTTAGGAGACGAGATACCCTCATAGGTACTCCTTTCCCCAAGAACTTCTTGTTTCATATTCTAAAATATTCTCAGGGTCTTAAGTCATTTGCAGCTTATACCCAAATCACACCCTCATCTCTCTGAAAAGTTCCTAATCATGCTCTGGCCGCCTTTTGTCTCTTGGCCTTTAGCTCTGCTTGGCTGCCAGTTCTCAGTTCTAATTATTTACACTCTCTGCGCATGCATATCAGTTACCAGTTTCTTGTTACCAGTTTTTCTGTGTACGTTTTTTTTTTTTTACCGCCCAAAACATAAAACCAACTAGAGAGACGATGAGCTGAGCTGCCCTCGAGGCAAGTGTTTGAAATGTTGTACAGTTTAGTGGCGTCAAACGCTTGGCTGGAGATGCTAGCCAGCAGAAGGCGTAGTTGGTGCATTAGTTACATAATTCGTTTACCGTTTCTGTAGCCGTTTGATTAATTGGTAAAGAGCCAAGAAAATGCAGCCCCTCGCCAGCGAGATCTCCCTCTGATAATTGTTCAGTCTTACAATAATGTATTCAAGTTTTTTCCTCAAGTCTTTTGTTTTCTAACTGTTCTAAGAGCGGTACTTGAATGCGTCAATTTGTGGAATGCATTGAATTTGCAAAAATGTAAATGAGGAAAACTTTTAAAAGAAAGTAATTATTCAAGCAAAGAATACATTTAAATGTAACTACAAATTGTATTTTTTTTATTTAAACAATTTGTATTTAGAGCTAGACATATTTTCTAATATATATATATATTAAATAAGTAAAACGACCGATTAAGGCAATAAAAAAACAACAAAACCCTCTTTAATTTACTTTTAAAATCTATGCAGACTATGTAGATAACACCCTTTAAACCCCCGCTTAGTTTCACATATTTACAGCATATTTCCAACCTAAACTACTCCTTAACTCGCAATGGAATTACTTCACAAAGCTGCAAGACATTTCCCACACAGAAAAAACCGCTTCTGTGGCCAACTGTTTTGATTGTTTTGGCAATAAGGAAATGCAGCCAGAGTTCAAGCAGCAAGTAGCAATTACATGATCCACATAATCCCCACAACTGCCTCGGATACCCGAGATACTGCAACTACAAAGTGGGCATTTATATTCTAATTATGCCTGGCACTTCCATCGAAAGTCACGCTACCATTTCCCACTCTCCGCTTGTTAGCAGTGGCAGCAGCAGTAGTGGCTATCATACAACAATAAAATGCTGATTAGGCATTTTTCTTTCGTTCCTTTCTTTTCAAAAAGAATAAAGATGAGCGGAAAGAACAGAAATCCTAACCGAATTTCTATTGGCATGCAGCAGTATAGAGAGAGCGCTGTCATGGCCCAAGCTGCTACCAGACAAACACGATCACCATGATGATCATGATCACGATGATCATAACGATGGTACCCCGAGGAGCAAGTGTTGTATCTATGCCAGCAAAACGGCCAATTTTCCATGGCCGGCCAAGTGCCAAAAGCAACAACACTTCGGGGAGAGGCTCTTTGTTTTGTTAGCTGTTAGGTGCCTCTGCCTGCCTGCTTCCTCACATCCTTTGTTGGCCATGATTTCACCAGTATTTGTGTGTGTGTCTGCGTGCTTCAAAGGAATTTCCATAACCGCTAGCATTCCCTGCATGCGTGTGTGTGTGTGTGTTTGTTGGCCCCTCTAATGGCCAAAACACAACAAAATCGAGCTCGTAGATACTTCTTCCACTCGATGACTTCGACTCCTCTTCTTTCAATGCCTTTTGCTTTCCGTACGTAACGAAAATGAGCGCAAACAGGGGGGAAAAGCAGGGGCACAGCTACAGGAAAACACACACACGAAACAGGTTTTTCCTGGCTTTGCTCTGGGAGTTCTGGCCTGTTCGACGGAAGGTGCGTGCAGGGAAAATCTGTGGAAAATGCATAGAGTTCTCTACCAAAGGCTTGACCCTCTCTCTCTCTCTCACCCCGACTTCCTTTCGGTTGACATCAGGGTCCAACTTACGCATTTTTCAATTATCTTACACGGACCAAGAGTTGCAAGTTGACTTGAAATTGCATTCCTCGTGTTGCGCTATGTATGTAGGTTGGTGTGGCAACCAACGGTACTCCTACTCGCAGTGGCACTCGCACTCCACCCAGCGGCGATCTTTTCGCCGCATTTTGTATTTCGCTGAGAGCCCAGGCAATTTGCAAAAGCTGGCAAGCAACGCGCTCAACAGGCTCATCACTTGGCCATCTAATGTCTAACTGCGCTGTCAGGCCAACTTGTTTACGCTCGGTGGCACTCGGCTTGAGATTCTCTACCCATCGGTGCTATCAACTGGGGCAGACGTGTCCCAGGCGGAAAATAAGCTAAGTTTTTGCAAAGTTTTTACGGAGAAAAGGTGCCTCCTAATATATAGAAAATTTATTAAAAGGTTGTTTGGGATTGATTTCTACATTTCAGCTATATTTTGCATTCCAACGTTGACATTTAAGATTTATAAGCAAGTCTTCCATATAGGGTATATATTATTATGTATATTGAGCAAGGTTTTTACCTTTTTAAGACGACAAATAGGCCTACAAAGCTTTCTAATATTATATCATCTTGGTCATTTCCTTCACAAAATGGTAACTAATCACCTAAAAAAATATATTTTAAATTTTAAATAATAATAAATCATAAAATCAAATAAGCAAAAAGTCTTTAAAAAGATTTTGGAAGGTCTACAGCCATATTATTAGATTCAAAAACATTTTATTCCACAATTCACAGATGTTAGAGTATCCAAAATCCTTCTTTCTACCTCTATGACTTTCAGTTGCATTTTCAGCCTCACCACTTTGTATTTACCATTTTACATTTTGCATTCTATTTAAGCCAAATGTCGCCTCGGTAGCGTTGGCGTCAAACTACCGTAGTGGCTTTTTCGGTTTTTGGGTCAGCCGCTCTGAGCACGCGCCTCGCATAACGTCATCGCTCAGTCAAAGCCAGGCTTAAGCTTATGCAACGCAGGGGCAACACAAATCATATTTCTGTGAGGACTGGGAGGGTGGAGTGGAGAGAGGAGCAATATTAGACGCATACATATGGGCGCCTTGGCCTGGCCAATTACTGGTACTTATGCAAGCAACCTCCCCTACAAATATTGGAGCGTATAAGCCGCTTTTTGAACTGCAACAATAATTTTGACACTGCGAAAACATAAATAAGAAAACAGGCAAGCAACGCAAATAACATAAACATTAAAGACTGTGACTGACTCTCGGCGACTGTCACTGCATTGATGCGTACGTGGTGTCTATGGGAGCAACGTGACTTTGGGTCTGGCCAAAAAGTCGAAAGGCAAAGACTTTAGTATCGGTTAAAAGATCTCACCAGAAATATATATGTATATACATATATATGCAAAACGTGAGCAGCCACTTAAATTGAGCGTGGCGAATTCGTTGCACATTTTGCATTTTCAAGTCAAATACACAATAAACTTTTTAAATAATTGTAAATAAAAGACTGGAGGAATTGGTACAAGCTAAAACTTGAAATAAATCACCAATGAAATAAATTTAAATTCGTTTGAAAACGGAAAGATATATATAATTTATTACATAAATAGTTCCAAGAAAAATATAAAATAAATTGTCTTATAATTTAAAGATGCGTACTAAGTTTTAACTTAAAAAAAAATGTAAAACGTAAAAAACAATATAAATATATTTTCAAATAATTCAAATAATTTTACATTTGTAAAATATATAAATATATTAAAATAGTTCCCTAACATCTGTTCAATTTAATTTAAATTTTTCTTATAAATAAACAAAAAATCAAAAACTGTTTCTAAACCAGTTCCTTGTCCCCATCATTAATTATCTGGCAGATTCCCCCAAGTGGCCTACTTCTTTGTTTCACCTTTTGTATCTCCCATTATAAGAACTTCACTAGATTAATTAAGCCATTCATAAATTGATGATCTTCTTGTGAGCAAAGATCATTATCGAAATGCATAACGAATCACATATGCCCATTATTTACATTGTCTTGAAATCCTGTTGAATCAATTAGACAACTTGATTTCAATTTGCAACAATTTGTCTTCCATTCGGAATGTGTGTTTGTGAGTCTAAAATCAAGTTTGACGCGGCTATGAGCAAATCTTTATATTTTTATACAAATATGACGCATTTGTGACCTCATTTGTATATTATTTTTATAAAAATATACTTATTTTTTCAAGTACTTGAGTCTTCTATCAGTTTCAAAGGCCTGCCAAATCCCACGAAAGCTGACTCCAAGTTGTTCCATTTTTTTTGGAAGTTATAATTAATTTATTTTCAATATCAAGTCAATTTATCAGTTGACTTGACAAATACAATAAAAATAACAAATTATCCACTGCCAGGGGCTTGAGATTCCCTCTCTCTGATTCTCTATTTCTCTCTGTGAGTCTCTCCAAGCCGCAGCTTAGCACAGTTTATAGTCAACTGTTATACAGATTTTCAAATGCCAAACGAAACTAGTTTTGCTGCCTCGTTAGAGAGCGGGAGAGATCCGTCAGCTGTTGTTTGCCAACTAACTTGGCCAGAAGCAGACTGCAGCCGCTCTGGCTCTCAGCCTTTAGTCTGCCGGCGCACCGCCTAGTGTGCACTACGCTCAATAGTTTTATCCGTCGAAACGGTTGCGTTCCGTTGTGGTATAAAGGTGTGCGTCCCTCGAGAGCCCCGCTTCCGCTCCAAACAGATGCGATTCGATCATATTTTTGTGCAATTCCCCAACATTTGAACAGCTGTGTGTGTGTGGGAGACAAGTGAAAACTGTGCCGGCAAAATGCAACAGCAAAAAATGAGATTAAATAAAAAGTGAATAAATAACAGTAGCAAACAACACTCATTGCTATTTGCTTAATTTGTTAACGCCATGCAATTTTTTCATCACGAAAACTGAAACAGAAATTAGATGTTTAGGCGATTACGCAATGCCTGAACTATTTTTCAGCGTTTGCGAATTTTTTTCCACGAATGTTTTTTCGCCCTGCAATTATATTTTTGCGAATCCAAGCTAATGACTACGAATCGCTTCAATTATCTGATGTGTTTAGTGATTTGACACAGTTTCATTTTTTTTCGGCCACGTCTGAGTTACTTTCTGGTTCGTCAGCTGCCAGGTGCAAAGTGCATCCCACAACGAAAGACTTAGGCAACAAACTTTCGCCCACTGCTAACCAAAAACATAAATAAATATTACAAAGAATAGAGAGCGAGCGCAATAAAAAGCTGTTAACAATCATAAACACTTACATCATACGGCTGTAACCTGTTGCATGTGTCTTGCAGTGGCACACTTTTTCAACACAAAGTTGCATTTAATTAATTACAAAATGAACCGAGCCGAACTGAGCTTCGCTTTTGAGCTTTTATTTTCTCGAAAAAGTTTATGAATGGAATGAATGAAGTGAGTGAATGAGTTAAGTGGAGTGACTTATGAATAAATGCCCACGTATGCAGGTGGGCAGCGCCCCTGGCTCCGGCTGCCCTTGGTCCAGCTGCTGCCGATGCTCCGACTTTTTGTCATCCTCCCAGCTTGGAGTTGCCTCGGCAAACTACATAAATTATCAAGCTGCTGGGCAGCGGCTGAACCATATAAAAATATGACTTATTAATAAAAACGGACAGCAGCAGCAACAACAGCAACTTAATAAAGCCACAACCTGGCAAAGAGGACAGACACTGGCGCCTCCGAGCTGCCGTACTGCCCCTAGAACAAGTAGCAGCATCGTAAATACTGATGTTTTGTTGATTTTCCATTAAATGTGTTAAATATGCCAAGTGTAGACGACGCGTGTGGGTTTTTCGCCCTCGTCTCTGTTGCATTCTCCTCCGCTGCATTTAATTAGCCAACGCCGGAATGCCGGGCTGAAGTGAAGTTTGCTTAGGCTCGGCAGCTAGAAAAATATGTTTTACAGAGTCATCATTTGAATTTCCAAGCAGTCAAGTGCTTGAACATAAAACAAGGGACTTTGCTCATCTTGAAAATGAGAATAATTAGCATAGTTTACCAGCAAGGTGAACCAAGTTTTTCCCCTGTTAACTAACTCTGTGATGTATGGCCATCTGTCTTTACATAACAAAGGGTTTCTATGAATTACTTGTAATTTATTTGTTAGTTTTTATTAATTAAAAAGAATTTATTTATCAGGTTTTGTTAATTAAATGTTATTTATTTGTGTATTTGTTTGGATTTTATTGATTAAATGTAATTTTATCTTCAATTATTTATAATCTAGTAATATTTCAACATATATTTAGATTGTTTTTTATTTTTACTAATTTTTTTTTTCATCCTAAGACCTGAATTTACTTAGATATTTGGTCAAAAATTAGGTTTTCTACCACGAAAATATTAAACTTTTCAATCTTGTATTTATTAATATTTTCAATTTCGGCAGAATCTCTTTATATAATTTTTCCTAAATGTTTTCGAGAGATCTCAAGTTGCCATTCCCAACGCTTGCATTTTTAATTATGCTTGTTAATTTTTGCACTTTTTTTGTTTTATTTTAAGACCCTCTGCTTTTTGCCATCTTAGTATGGGCCACACGTTTTGCGTTTATGTTTCTTCATACTTCATTTGCCGCATGAAATAATTGCGGGGCGTAGAAATGAATGTGCAAGCAGGGCGTTCCCCAAAAGCCAAGGAAAAAAAATGGTTACCGTAAGATCAGAAGAGAGAACTCTTTTTTGTACGTTCTCCTTCCCATATTACATGCGGAAATTACTTCATTGCAATAAAGATACAGGGACGATAAGGGCCTGGCCTGCTTCAGAGATCCTCAGAACCAGATGCAAGGTCGGTCAGTTAGTTCTACGATTTCTTTAATTTTGGGGCAAGTTTGTTGCCTAAGTCTTTGGATTTTTTCTGCCGAAATACCAAAGTTTAAGCTCGGGTTAATTAGCATAAGCAAGCCAGCCAAGCAAATCGAGTGAGTCAAGCACTAAATTAGGCTTTATAGGGTCCGCTCAGCACACCCACATGTTGTTCCATTCAGTTCCGTGCCGAGCGAAAGTTCACGAAACTCTTGAAGACTTGAAACAAAATAATATATAAAATATAAAAGAAACGCCTACGGGGGGTGTGTGTGTGTGCGCCAGTGTGTGTGGGTGTTGTGGGCGTGTAATGTGCGCCTGACACCAAAACAGTTAAATGTGGAAATACAAGAAATTCAAGTGAATATCAAGCGCAGAAATTACGTCAATCAAAAAGCTGGCAACTTGGAAGCCAGCAGCAAATATCAAAGCTGCCTGCTGCCTGGCCACAAATCGTTCATATTTTTCCGTCTTTTCTGCAAAGGCGGCTCTCGTCTGAGAGCAAGAAAAAAATTATTGCTGAGCGGTCCAAGCCAAAAATGGACCAGCAGAGCGGCGACTTTTGCCGAGCAAAGTGTGGGCAGCAAAGAGTTGCCTAACAGCCACCGTCGCCACAGACACATCCAAACTCTCTCACACACTCACGAGCACCTGGAGCCAGGTTTTAAAGAAGAAAAAAAAAGTCTCCACTGACGGGGGCTCGCGATCGCCGACTGAAGCTCCGCACATTCAGTTCGTTTTCAGCGCGCGTGCGGTGCGGTTCTCTCTCCCAGTGGGCTCTTTCTTCGCGGTGGACAGTGTGTGTTAAGTGCCGACGGAGCAACTGCATCATAAATCTTGGCGAAGCGAAGATCATTGCCTTATTTGCTTATGAGGGATCGCCTCGCGTCTCGTCTCGTCTAATTGCAGTGAAAGTTTTGCCAGGCTCAATTTTACCCTGTGAAAATTCCGAAAAACCAAATGCGCGCAAAGCAATCGAAAAGTGTTTTAAAGAAAAGCGTTAAATATTGTTAAATACAACCATAAAGAAGAGGAAAAAATATTTCAGTGTCTGCCCGCAGTGTGTGTGTGTGTGTGTATCGCTGTGCTTTTGACGGCAAATCGCTTTTGGCAGCTGCTTTGGCAGCAGCCAAGTAAGAAACAACAACGTTTGCTGGCATCGTCGCTCTTCGGTTGGCAGCTGTTGGCAGTATGAACTGATTTTGGCCCAAACTGGATGAATAAAATGGTGAGCACAATTTTTTTGGCTTCTACAAAGTGCAAATTTTAAGTGGAATATAAAACATTTTAATTGGTTGAAAAAAATGGACGAGGTTTTTGGGAAGAAAAAGCATAAGGAGGGGTAAAACCAGACTAAAGCTTGATTATTTAATTTAGTAAATGGCCAATAAAAGTTTAAATATGATTTAAAACAATTAGAAATTAACTGAAGGTAATTAAAAAATTATTTTTAGTTCTGAAAAAAATATTTATAATTGCAGAAGTTATTTTGAATCTTATAAAAAGGTCTTTAAAAAGTTAGTTCCTCTAATAAAACCTTCAAAACTTTTTATAGAAGTATTTTAAATTATATATAATGACCATCTTTTGAATACATATGTAGCAACTTTAGCTGCCTTTGAAAATGTATACCTAAAATGTAAACCTTAAAAATAAATCCCAAAAAATCACCTAGCTTAAAACCAGTTGGCATTCATAGTTTACTTGACAAATTTCTGTTGTTTTTCTTTTTTTCCACCAAGTGCAGACTTAAGCTTAAAATAGCAACTGTAAATGTGGCAAAAAAAAAATAACACACAAAAACACAAAAATAATAATAACAAACAACGAACAGCAACAAAAAGAAACGTTCACTTTCATTAGTGCAAAAAATCTCAGGCCCAAAGTCATTGTGGGCTTTGATGAGTTGAAAGATGAATACGCAGAAGACGCCTTGTCACCGGCGGTCAGGGACTGCTCTTCACATCCACGCTAATGCTGTTTATTTTCTCTGCATCTCATTTCGGAAATAACGAAACCAAAAACGCAAATAGAAAATATGACAAATAATTGCTTCAAATGCTCGCTTGACACACTTTAAAGAGGTGGCAAAGAAAGCTTAGCTGAGAGTCCCCTCGGAGGTTAAAAAACCAACACTCGTTTCTTTATTATTTTTGTGGAGTTAGGGGATTTGCCAGGCAAAAGCAGATTTTTGTCGAAATTTCGTGTATCTACAACCGAGTTTTTCGGTTTATTGATGGAGCCCGAATATATCTTTGTGGTATTTTTTTGCATCTTTTTAACATTAGATGCAAAACACGAGTGAAGCTACCGGCGGCGCCGTCTCATTTGTCAGCCAGTTTCGGTTTGAACTAGCTGCCAGTCATTTGTAAGCCATTGTCTTGGCCCCAAACGTGGGCACAACTCTTCTCATCCCATATCATCCCATCTCCCAGACCCACAGACTTACTTTTGTTTTGCTTAGCTGTTTATGCTGATGCGTTTGCCGCTTGTTTGCTGTTACGGTGCGACGGCAAAAGGTGCAAAACTTTCACTTTATGTATTATTGTTTTGCGTGCGATCTGCTGCGTTTGTCTGTTGGAGAGAAATTACAATAATAATGACTATAAATTATGAGCCAAAGCGCTCCTGACTCGCTCGCTGCTGCGTGGGCGAAAGAAATTGCCGCAATTAAGTGAGTCAAAGCACCCAAAAAAAATTAAAGTGAATGTTTCGCTTGAGATTCTTCTGCAAAGATAAATGCTGTAAAAAGAGCGACAAATATTTCACAGTTTGCACAAGAGAAATTTTTAATGTAATCTTTTTTTCTTGTATTGCAAAATTTATGAGCCAAATCAAAAGACTTGGGACACGAACTTGATGGCTTTGCCAGAGTAAGGAGTTTTCATTGAAAGACTTTGAAAGGTAGCTTTATTATTTCTATAATCTATCAAAAGATTAGAGATCAGAGCTTTGAATTTTGTCTAAAACATTTTGCTAATTCCCTCTCAAGTCTTTAAAAACCCACCTGCTCTTTGCTAAGATGTTTAAAACTCTTCAAATAAAATAAATTTCTTGAAGAAACAAAAGACTGCAGACACAAACTTGACATTAGCCAATGAAAACATTTATTGAATGCAAATAAAACGCCAGTTTTATGGCCAGTGAAACTCGTGGGAAAGAAATTTCCAGCTACTTTCGTGAAACTTATAAAAGAAACTGGCGAAATCGGTAGATTGATTCCGCAAAACTTTGTTTTGTGTAATTCGTAAGTCATGGCATTCCCTTCAGAAAGATTTATTAGGTCCCAAAAATTACCCAAGACAAGTCGCGATTTAGATGCTCTTCTATAACTCTCGACTTTGTGACTCAGTTGCCTCAACTAGTTTTCTTTTTCAATCACCCCCCACACTTTGTAGTCCGTAGACTGTTGAACCGCCGCTCAAGGTCTTTTCCCAGCCACCAACCGAGAGAGCTTCGTCAGCATTGGAGCCAATATTCAAAGCCACACAAAATTCTAATTAATTTCGTGCTCGCGAATCTTTTTTGCATTGATCTCTGTTGGTTCCAAATGTGGCCACAGTGTGTGGGCAATGGCTGATGAGCAGATGATGAAGACACGAAGCTGATGAAGCCAAAGCGGAGCCAAGTCGGTGTGCGTCAGTGCCAACCTGTACCTGTATCTCTGAGCCATCATCATTAGTTTTGGCCAAATGGCGGCCTTTGTGGGCGATATTGGCCCACGCATCATGACACAATCCGTGGCTTGGCCAAGACCCGATCCGACCATGTGGTCCACACAGATCTCCTCAGAGCCCATGCACTTGTTATGCGTTTTCGATTTCGATTTCGTGTCGACTTTCACCAGAACACGGTTTCGTTTTCATTGCCATATATGAGAGTACTTCTTCGCGATGACCCAAAAAATAAGAAATAAATGGAATCATCTGCGCCGAAAAAAAAAGACCGAAACGAAACCCAAACGAAAGGAAATACGAAATACCACGAGAAATAAAGCGAAAGTAAAACAGCGACCAGTTTTTGTGTGTTATTTCTCGATGCAGGGCTGCTGCAGCGAACTCAAAATGATGTCATGCTGCGGCAAAAAAACCAAACCAAACCAGACTTAAGTATTTTTTCTTTTTGTTTTCTGAAGTTTTTGGCGGACCCCAATTTCGGCTGTATCTGTATCAATAAAAATGGCTTCGTCTCGTGCAGCAAATGCAAAAGTAACCGGACGACTCGAGGCCCAGCCCAGCCCCAGTTGAGTTCACATTCGGTTCACAATTCAGCTTCCACGCCAACACTCAAGACCCTGATCGCTGCATATAACTAGCTGTAATGCCGTTTATTTATTTCATTTTAAAAATCCCTGTCAACGGCACAGCTTCAGTTGCAGCCACAGCCGCCGCCTTAGCCTCGAGTTAAGCCTTTAAATTTATGACTCATATTAGTTGCAACCGCCGCCGCCGCCGCCGACGACGACGATGTCGCGACGACAAAAAAACCAACACGGAAACTTTTTAAACTGCAATTTGCAACAATTTTTGCAGCAACTGTAAAGCGGGAATAGCCCAAAAAACAAGGCACCAAGGAATTGAGATTACTGGCAGACAACAAAGTTTTAATACACTTACCAAAAATTAATAGTATTTATATTAGTTAATAACTTAAGTTGATCTTATAATACACTAAAATAATAAAGTTATAGAGGGGTATATAAAAGGGATAGCAGAAACTATCGATTCAGTATTCTCAAATGTTTTACGATAATATCGATATTTTAACGGAAAATGCGATTGTTTTTGATATATCAAATTTTATAATAATTTTATATGATATTAAAAACGATATTTCTGTCGATCTATTACATATTATCGATATTTTAGAGTTAAATGATTTAAGAATTAAAGTTTTTTATTTTATTATAAATATGATCAAATGATCTGTGATCAACGAAAAGGCTAAACGAATTCTGAAGTTTCCTAAAAATTCTTTTCCTCGTTACCCAAACTTCACGGTCTCCAAAAGAGTATTTCTGGCTAGCACTGGCTAAAAAAAAAACCCCAAGACAGCAGCCTGATCTCAGGTTGTGTGCGGCCAATTAACGGAATGTCTGCTCCGATATCGCTACCGTAATTTAACTTTCAAATGCAGCAGCATGCAACGGCAGTAAAACGTAAAACCCGTTGCAGTAACTACATATCCCATATACCCATATCAGGGCGCCTTAAGCTGGAGCCTGAGCCTGAGCCTGAGCTAGAGCTGGAGCCTAGCTAGGTCTTTTGTTTGCGCCCTGTCACTGGGCAATCGGCCTGGCTAATAACTTCATTTAAATTAATCTTGGCACAGCTTACAGCTTACAGCTTACTGCTAGGAGAGCAAGCGAAAACAATTTAAAATTCAATTACCGCGCAGCGCGTTTGAAGCTGCCACCGCAGGCGAGCACATAACCATAAACATTTCCCCTGTCTCCCCATTGATGTGCATCCTGTCATTGTCATAGTGCCAGCTCATATCCTGTGGATGTGTGGAGTGCCAGTCCCGGCATAGCATAAATTGCATAAACCGCACATGCTAATCAACATGGGCAACCGCAATTATTAAATTACATTTGCACGGCCTAATCGAATTGGCAAGGGGTCGGTCTCTCCCTCTGGTCAGTGGTTCCTGGCCAACAGTAGCTTCAGAGAAGCGCCTCTTTCTTGATAGTCGTAAGTTCTGATTCCGTGCCAAATGGGGCGGAGCTATCGGTATTTGATTTGTCGCCGGAATGAGGAGGCTGACATTGGGGCTGGATGATTGTCGGTGCGAAAGGAAGCATTAACCAAATATGATAGTGAGAAGATTCAGGAAGAAATCAAGTGGATAGTTGGAAATATATAAACTATTTTTATATTACAAGTATTTGGGTGTTTTGCTAGATCATTAGGCTAACTTCCCTGGAAGTTTTAAAACGGAACTTGAGTAGAAAAAATGCACACAGATTGACTTGAAGTAGAGATAAATGCCAGCATGTTTTGGGTTTATTATTTGTTTAAGCTGATTTAATTTCAAGTTACTTTCTTTCAAGAAACCTTGCCTCGAGTATTCTATATTTCTCTCCCGGATCTCTTACTAATCCACACAATTTCACCATCAATTATCCATTGAACTCGAGCTTCGGCCTCAGTCACTTATGGTTAAAAGCCTGGGCCGTGACTCAACACTCGCCTTGAAGGTCAACGACAAACTCGCACAATCTGGCGT